AATTTCTACTTTCTACCATCAAAATTGGAATAATTTTGACCATTGAAATCACCAAACCAATTTGGGCTGCATGTATACCTAGGGTGGATTATATGGGCAAATGTCCCCTTTAAAAAACATCAAGTTCAGTTGGCCAAATAAAAATCAAAGAGAAACAGAGAATTTATGCAAATGATTGGTATTTTGCTTTTCATAATTGGTAATATTAATATTACTATAAATTAATTACAAGAAGACATCAAGGCAGTACACTGTTGAATATGTAACATTTCAAATATGTGATGTTTGATTATTGGAAATTGGCAGGCGTTGAAGCATGCACACTGCCTTGAACACTTTACAGTCATTCTCTCACATTCCTCTTGTACACAAAGGCTAATCCGACCATGTCTCTCCAATGATACAATGATGCAACTAAATTTTCAGGGGGAATGTATGGCCCTGGAGTTTACCAAGACTGCATCAATTGTCAAGGTCACTTTCACTAATCCTCCCTCACCAGAGAAAGCTTGCTGGCATGCTAGCTGAAAAGTTGCCTGCAACAATCCACACTAGGGTAAGGTGGCTCTATGACAACTCTGGAGGAATATTAAGATAATCTGCAGCTTGTTTCAAGCTCAGGAGGTCACAATTCAGAGCAGGGTTGAGGCCCTGAAATTTTATTTAGGCTCTGATGTTAAGAAGAAAGTTGTAAAATAATGATTGTTTTGTATAATCACTTTCCTAGATTCTCTGTTTTTTTATTATATGAGTCAAATATGAGGCACAAACACACATAATCATAAATCAGAGCAGAATGTCATCCTAATAGTGGTATTTTGATTCCAATTGGTTCAGTATTTTTATTTATTAGTCAAAATTTAAAAAAATCAAAGAATTTTAACATGAGCAGTTGATGATTATCAATTTGAATAATGAATCTGATGTTGACTGCATGTATTAAAATCTCCTATCACAAATATGTAATTGCAATGCAATGCACACTCTGTCCCCATAGAACTTTTTCCCACAAGCAAGGCAATTGAACATGTTGGAAGACTTTGGACAAAACTTTCCCTATCTTCCTCTCAGACCAGGCTTGGCATTGATCACTGATAGTTGGTGCTTGTGTGATGATTGCTTTGTGTTATTCCCCTCTAAAATAAAGTTGGTGTTAAGACTGATTCAAAATTCTGCAACTTGAGGTTGCAACCTGGGTTGCTGTTTTGTTGGTGGCATGCCCACTCGTCAACAACCCTACCCCATTTAAATAACAAGTTCAGTTGGTCAAAATAACAATTAAAAGAGAAACAGCAAATTTGGGAAAATGATTAATTTATATATAACATACAAATCTGAACCATTTTATTTTACAGCTTTCATCTTGATGCCAGTGATCATGGTGACTATCACAATAGAAGTGGACAGAATCAAACTGCCACCTTTATACTTGTGAGATACATGCTCACATTTGAGCTACAATCCTTTATCCTAGGGTTATACATGCAGCCCAAAGTATTTTGACACTGTCATAAAAGGGGTTACACTTGTAGTAAAGGGGTGTTACACATATGTTTTTAATAGTGAGTACCGTAATTAATTTCTACTTTCTACCATCAAAATTGGAATAATTTTGACCATTGAAATCACCAAACCAATTTGGGCTGCATGTATACCTAGGGTGGATTATATGGGCAAATGTCCCCTTTAAAAAACATCAAGTTCAGTTGGCCAAATAAAAATCAAAGAGAAACAGAGAATTTATGAAAATGATTGATTTATAACATAACATACCAAACAAAATCAAAACCACTTTATGACTTTTTTCTTGTTGACAATATTGCTGACAAAGATGTATATAATCATGCAATAATTTTAATCTATTGGACAAAAACCCAGTCAGTCCCCTACCCAAAATCATAAATTGGTTAGTATCAAAAAAACAGAGAATCTAGGAAAGTGATTATACAAAACAATCATTATTTTACAACTTTCTTCTTAACATCAGAGCCTAAATAAAATTTCAGGGCCTCAACCCTGCTCTGAATTGTGACCTCCTGAGCTTGAAACAAGCTGCAGATTATCTTAATATTCCTCCAGAGTTGTCATAGAGCCACCTTACCCTAGTGTGGATTGTTGCAGGCAACTTTTCAGCTAGCATGCCAGCAAGCTTTCTCTGGTGAGGGAGGATTAGTGAAAGTGACCTTGACAATTGATGCAGTCTTGGTAAACTCCAGGGCCATACATTCCCCCTGAAAATTTAGTTGCATCATTGTATCATTGGAGAGACATGGTCGGATTAGCCTTTGTGTACAAGAGGAATGTGAGAGAATGACTGTAAAGTGTTCAAGGCAGTGTGCATGCTTCAACGCCTGCCAATTTCCAATAATCAAACATCACATATTTGAAATGTTACATATTCAACAGTGTACTGCCTTGATGTCTTCTTGTAATTAATTTATAGTAATATTAATATTACCAATTATGAAAAGCAAAATACCAATCATTTGCTATCATGACAAGGATCTTATAATTAGCCAGCAAAGATCTGTATTATCATGTAGTTATCCACTAAAATATCCGCAATCGCCAAATTGGTTTCTAAATAAGGATAACACGCACCCAACTCACCAATAAAAATTGGATATTCTGAGGTTTCACGAAATTTGTGGATATTTTTTATGGATAACTACACTATTATCATTGAAATCACCAAATCAATTTGTAATAAGACAATTAAAATAATAAATAATTGAGAAGAACCAGAGCAATATAGAAACAACAGAGAATAATGACAGAGCAGAGAGTTAGTTCAATTTCAATTTCCAGAGAATTTATTTCAAAATTCATTAAATACAATGGCAATGGCAAATACAATACAAACAACAAGAATAGTATTATTTTTATTTTTAGTGGGTTGGAACTCATGAATCTGTAGACACAAAGAACCAGGAACATTTGTTTTTGATTATACACCTGATACCATATTTGTGTACAAAATTAGAAATTGAAAGCCCAATGTGGGCAAAATTTTATTAAAACAGCAAAGTATATTTTAACTCAGCTTTATGCATTCTATACTAAAAACATCAAAGGGAGAAAAATGAGGTCAAAAAGTATAAGGTTTCTTCTATGATCAAATTACCAATCATTGAATTTATTTCTTTCATTTATTGCTCTCTGACTCAGTTTCTTTACCATTGGATGGGCATAGAGATGGGCAGATCAGTACTATATGTATAATACTATACAGTCAGGGTTTTTTCCAAATTTGGAAATCAATTCTGGAAAAAAAATTAGAACCTCCATGTTGATCAATTCATATATGTTACAAACAAGTTAATGTGATATTTCCACGTTAAAAAATTTTTTTATTTTAAAAAACTCCCATAATAGTTGAAATAAATTCCTCTGAATATATACTCTGAGGATCACCTAGGATCACTGCGAAGTTTATAAGATATGAGAAGTTATTAGTTGAAGAAATTTCATTTTCAAGTATAGTTTTAGGTTCACTTTTCACTTTTTTACTTCAATAATGTTTAAGATGATAAAACCAATAATAGTAATAGCTGCCATTGAATGTCCTTAACAAAGGCGGAATACTGCATGCTCTATTTTAAAAAAGGTATTAGTTGAAAAAATGTGAAAAACATATCAGATGAAACATTAAATGAGATAAAATAAAGGATCACAAAACTATTTACAACAAATTGTCAATAATAAGCTGTAAGAAAATTATATATATATATATATATATATTCATTTATTAATAACTCTATTTGTTAAAAACATAATTTGTTGTTTATTCATTAACAACTAACTATTTATTATAGATATAAGAAAATTCAAATTTATTTTCTCAATGATTCATATATATACTGTATATACAATATGGTATACACACTAAATATTTTTAATGATTGGCAGCCAAAAAATTATTGTATCATAGTAAAATTTGCGTTATGTATACTCTACCCTTAATTAAATTGATTAAATAGTAAGCAAGCCAAAGGGAACTTAATTGACAAACAATTTGATCAATTGATATTAGTTACTATTTTGTATGTTGATCCACAAAACAAAAGTTTTTCTTTCTTCTATGAAAGGTATGGTTCCAAAGAGAATTATTGATAACATGACTTCGGTTTTGACCCAACTTTTATTTTCCTTCTTTAAAAAAGAATTTTGGACAACTTACTACTATGAAAGAAAGCAATAAAATTAGTTCTTACGTTCAATGTTGTATCGGGACGAATAGTGTTCTATAGAAATTATCAGCAATTCTGACAAAATTTAAATTGAATGGAAAGCGAAAGAAAAGAATAGCTGGAGGATTGGCGGAGGAGAAGTGGAGGGTTAAAAAAGCAGAGAGAATGAATTTTGATTCGGAGAAAAAAAATTATTTAAAATAAGGGTAGAAAAATAAGATTGTCTTTCTGCCGTCATTTGGATGACTTTATGCAATTTTGTCAATAGCGATATATATGATGTATTGTTATTGTTATTGGGTAAGCTTTATATCGTGGAAATTTTATATAAAAATTGTAACGTAATGTAAAATTTAAATTTATTAAAAATAAAAAACAATAAAAATAAAAATTATTTATAAACAATAAATATAATGAATGATGTAAATAAATAAATAAATACAGTATTCTAAAAGAAACTTCAACCATTATTATTATTGTGGCTTAATTTGACACACAATTTCACCCAATCTATCTCGATTTCCCATTTTATTGATTCTTCTTTCATTTCGACCATAGATTTGTTCGATTCCCTGATTTCTCCCTTCAGAGTTTCATACACTTGGTTTTCGTTCTTCTTTGGCTCTATAAATTTGCGCAGTGCACATTTAGTTAATGTTGTTGAGGTAGCCAGAAAGTCACCAGATGCTGGTAAAGAAGAACACCTTCCTTGTTAAAAAGGGCAGACCAGTATAAACACGCTATTTTATAAAAAATGTGAACTGTTACTAACAATATTCCAAATAATATGAGAAATATTAAGAATAAACAGATATAATCAAAAGGGCTAATAATGATCACTAACTTTTTTATTCATAATTATCGCGCGCCTATCGCACAAATTATGAAAATGTCTTCATACATTCCAAATCACAATAGGAAAAATAAACTATAAGCGTAATCACCCAGTTAACCATGTTGTATAATATGTCATCCAGTAATGGTAACAGCACATTTTGGTGCGTCCAGTTTTCCCTGAAACATTGAACAGAATGACAAGAAAGACTGGAAAAAATGTGTTAAGAATTGCATCATACACATCCTCTTCAGATTTATAATCTTCGTCGATGATTGATGCAGTCACAAGTGGAAAGAATGTGATTTTCCACAAGATAAAATTCAACCAAAGCAAGCAAGTGAAATCAAATTTCTTGAATAGAGATCTTTTGAAGAGAAAATTATTGTTCATATTGAATGATAGATAAAGTTTCTCCCATAGAACTTATTTAATTGATATTTATAGATAATGAATTCGTAATTTTGACCAATCAATAAGTATTAATTAAGATAGTAACGGGATCCTTTACCAGTATTATTCTTATTATTGTACTTAATATTTGTTACACGAGTTAAAATTCGAAGTTTCTTATTAATATTAATATTTCTTTATTTGTAAATTGTTACGCGGATTTTTTGTTCTTATGATTAATACAGTATTGTTAAAGTTAGTCATAATTTCGTAAAACGTCGAACACCGAACTCAATATAACCTTTTTTAAATAGATCCACTTTTAGCATAGTAATAATAGTGTTACAAAGAACCCATTGCTCACCAGTATATAGTAATACCGTAAAGTCTGGAAAGATAGCACCCCCTACTTTAAACCAATTGAGCGTCAATATATAAAAAATGTTACACATATGTAAAAAGGGGATGCTATCTTTCCAGGCTTTATGGTAGTTAATTTTTAAATTTAAAAAAAAGTCATTATTTTGTAACCCTTCTTTTCTAATGATTAATAGTTTGGCCAACTTTAGTTACTAATTAGAGACCCCTTTAAATTTCTTGTAGGGACGCCTCTGGTAGTATAGTTGTATATCTATCTATATTTTATTTTGTTAGCGAGGCTAACGCGAAAATATAGTCGAGGACTAGTGATATAGATTTTATTTCACAATCAATTTCAATATTAGCAATTATCTAACTCTTGTTCAGTCATTTAAATAAGGAATTGTATAAAACATGTTTTATTTCTAATCGCGAAAGTTTTTTTATAAAACGAAATTGTTCAAATATGAACTTTGATGTAAACCTACTCTTTTACTACTACTAAAACATATAAATTATAAGAATGATATCTAATATTTACTACTACTTGTTAATTTTTAATCAAAACCCACTCTTGATAATTTTACTATAATAATATAAAAAGATTTTTACAATTTATACATGTTATATTTTTAAAAAATATATCTAATTTGTTTAAGTGAAAAAAAAAATCTCTCATTCTATTTAAGTAATATTACTATTATTATTGCAATGGTATTATTATTAAATTCATTTTCGTTTCATTATGAACTTGTTGATTTAATTCTTTGTCTTTGTCATTATCACCAACAACATTATTAACAATTTATTTTTCCTTGATATAAAATAAGAATAGCAATAAAAGCAATAATGAAGATTGCACCAGGTGCAACTGATCCAATAATTATAGCTAGCTTAGCATCACTAGTAGTGTTTGAAGAATCTTGTCCAAAATTATCAGAATTTGTTGAGGGTGAAGGAATTGGATCTGATAATGATGATGATGATGATGATGTAGCAGAAGTATATGTAGAAGGTGCTGGTGTCATAGAAGTTGATGACCGTATTGGAATATTAGGTGTGTATGTTTCCAACCATGTATAAGTTGTGGAATCAAGTATAAATATATTTGATGGTATTGTTTTTAAAATTTCAAACCCCTAATATAAAATAAATATTTTATTTTAAAAAATATATAAATAGATATATAAATAGATAATGTAACATTTTACTCACCATAAATCCTATGTAATAATTTGTTTAAAAAAAGTTGAAAATTAATAAATAACTAAACTAGTAAATTTATTTTCTGACAATTATTATAATTATTTACCATATGCAATTATAATATTAGTTCCAACCATTGTCATTGTATTATCAAACAATCCTGGTAGTTTAGTTATTCCCAAAGGTTGGATAGTTTTCCATGCCAGTGTAGTTGTATCAAGTTCTAACACATCATCATAAATAATTTTTGCATTCTTACAACCACCATAAATAATAATTTTCTTGTCTGTTGCTAATGATAAACAGGAAGAAAGATATATTATGTTGATAGATATACATGTAAATAATCAATTAATTTTGCTGAAAAGATATTTAATATTTGAAAACTTACTTCCAACAGCTCGATGACCTCTTCTTGGTGAGGGAGTAACACCTAAAGTGGTCTAAACGTTTAAATAAAATTATGTAAATAAGCTATTTAAATTTAGTAATTAAATATAATAGTTATAATTATGATTACAATGTAATGAATGTAATGTAAAAACATTTAACCTTTGAGGTCCAAGTATCTAGATTAGTGTCATAAATAGTAATTACATTCATTTCCGATAGGAGAGAGGAGCCTGTACCATCCACCACATTATTAATACCACCAATAACATAAATGAGATCATCACTTAGTAAAGTTGAAGTATGATGAGAAATTCCTTTTGGAAAAACATTTATTGGTGACATTTTAAATGTGTCTGTTAATGAATCATACACACATAACGTATTTAATGCATCACCAACACTAGTTTTTTCAACAACAGGTAAGGAGGATCCACCTAATATAAAAACTTTTGAATCATATTTGGTGACTGAAGTGTGTAGCACACGACCAGTACATTCTGGTATAACTTCTTTAAAAGCTAATGACTTTGACTTGCTTGTTGTATTGAAAATATATAATGGATTTGGGGGTGCTTTCCTTTTTGAAAAGCCACCAAATATTATTAATAAATTTTTATCTTGACCTCCAATTGACATACTATGAAATGAAATAGGAATATATCCTTCTAATGAATTCCATCCTGGATATTTTGGATCAAAGTTTTTGATACATCCAAATACAACATAGCAGCATTTACGTCAACGCCAGAACTAAACTCATCAATAGGATCAAAATTAAGATTATCCGCCATTAACATTCTACCTCCATAAACATATAAACTTTTTTTGAATAATTTTTGAAATGTATATATTACTATTTCTCACCCACTAATGTAGCTGTATGACCCCTATTATTATTATATTATTATTATTGTTGTTGTTATTGTTGTTGTTATTATAAATAAAATATTATCTAGTTCACTTACCATCTTCCTGTAGTTGATTGACAATTGACCAACAAAGAACCATTTAACAAAGTTATTGATAAAATAATGATAAAATATTTTATTTTAACATTCATTATCATTGTGATTACTATTATATTATTAGGATGCTAATATAATTATATAGTTTCTTTAAAAAAATTTTCTTTGATGAATCTGTCATAAAAATAATCATACTGATAGGAAATATTAATTTTTGAACTAAAAATGGTTCTTCAATAATAATAAAGCCTAAATAGGTACAATCGTGCACATATATTTGCATAACACTATTCAAATTGGCATTGTTCTCTGTATAAAACGCATTTTCTAAAAATCAATCACTTTGCTACCTGATATAATAATTATCAATTAACGTAAAATCAAATGAACTCAAAAGCTTGAGCAGTGTTTCTTTTTATTCATCATAATTCACTGCAGGCGATGCTTCCCGATTACTTTAATAAATGATTCAATGCTTGGTTGCTGATTTCAATATAGCATTGTTGATATGGGGTTAGTGTTGATCGT